TTTAATAATCTTTTTAAAAAACACTCGTCGGACTCGTGATTTTTTCATGACATTTTTAAAAAACGACACCTGTGACCTCCGAGTTTGTGTCATAATCGTTTAAAATAGACACCTGGGGCCCCAAAGACTCTTATGATCGTTTTAAAACAGACACTATCTCCGAAATTGTGTCATGATCGTTTAAAATAGACACTTGTGGCAGCCGAGACACATTTTTAATTTTTTTAAAGACTCCGGATCTCCGAGATTCTTTAATAATCTTTTAAAAAAAAACACTCTTCGGACTCGTGATTTTTTCATGACATTTTTAAAAAACGACACCTGTGACCTCCGAGTTTGTGTCATAATCATTTAAAATAGACACCTGGGGCGCCAAAGACTCTCATGATCTTTTTAAAACAGACACTACCTCCGAAATTGTGTCCTGATCGTTTAAAATAGACACTTGTGGCACCCAAGACACATTTTTAATTTTTTTAAAAAGACTCCGGATCTCCGAGATTCTTTAATAATCTTTTTTAAAAAACCACTGGTCGGATTCGTGATTTTTTCATGACAGTTTTTAAAAACGACACCTGTGACCTCCGAGTTTGTGTCATAATCATTTAAAATAGACACCTGGGGCGCCAAAGACTCTCATGATCTTTTTAAAACAGACACTACCTCCGAAATTGTGTCCTGATCGTTTAAAATAGACACTTGTGGCACCCAAGACACATTTTTAATTTTTTTAAAAAGACTCCGGATCTCCGAGATTCTTTAATAATCTTTTTTAAAAAACCACTGGTCGGATTCGTGATTTTTTCATGACAGTTTTTAAAAACGACACCTGTGACCTCCGAGTTTGTGTCATAATCGTTTAAAATAGACACCTGGGTCCCCAAAGATTCTCTCATGATCTTTTTAAAACAGACACTACCTCCGAAATTGTGTCATGATCGTTTAAAATAGACCCTTGTGGCACCCAAGACACATTTTTAATTTTTTTAAAAAGACTCCGGATCTCCGAGATTCTTTAATAATCTTTTTTAAAAAACCACTGGTCGGATTCGTGATTTTTTCCTGACAGTTTTTAAAAACGACACCTGTGACCTCCGAGTTTGTGTCATAATCGTTTAAAATAGACACCTGGGTCCCCAAAGATTCTCTCATGATCTTTTTAAAACAGACACTACCTCCGAAATTGTGTAATGATCGTTTAAAATAGACACTTGTGGCACCCAAGACACATTTTTAATTTTTTTAGAAAGACTCCGGATCTCCGAGATTCTTTAATAATCTTTTTAGAAAAACCACTCGTCGGATTCGTGATTTTTTTATATTTTTAAAAAAAGACACCTGTGACCTCTGAGTTTGTGTCATAATCATTTAAAACAGACACCTGGGGCCCCAAAGACTCTTATGATCTTTTTAAAACAGACACTACCTCCGAAATTGTGTCATGATCGTTTAAAATAGACACTTGTGGCACCCAAGACACATTTTTAATTTTTTTAAAAAGACTCCGGATCTCCGAGATTCTTTAATAATCTTTTTAAAAAAAACCACTCGTCGGACTCGTGATTTTTTCATGACATTTTTAAAAAACGACACCTGTGACCTCCGAGTTTGTGTCATAATCATTTAAAATAGACACCTGGAGCCCCAAAGACTCCCTCATGATTTTTTTAAAACAGACACTACCTCCGAAATTGTGTCATGATCGTTTAAAATAGACACTTGTGGCTCCCAAAACACATTTTTAATTTTTTTAAAAAGTCTCCGGATCTCCGAGATTCTTTAATAATCTTTAAAAGAAAAACACTCGTCTGACTCGTGATTTTTTCATGACATTTTTAAAAAAAGATACCTGTGACCTCCGAGTTCGTGTCATAATCATTTAAAATTGACACTTGGGGCCCCAAAGACTCTCTTATGATCTTCTTAAAACAAACACTACCTCGGAAATTGTGGCATGATCGTTTAAAATAGACACTTGTGGCACCCAAGACACATTTTTAATTTTCTTAAAAAGACTCCGGATCTCTGAGATTCTTTAATAATCTTTTTAGAAAAACCACTCGTCGGACTCGCGATTTTTTCATGACATTTTTAAAAAACGACACCTGTGACCTCCGAGTTTGTGTCATAATCATTTAAAGTAGACACCTGGAGCCCCAAAGACTCGCATGATCTTTTTAAAACAGACACTACCTCCGAAATTGTGTCATGATCGTTTAAAATAGACACTTGTGGCACCCAAGACACATTTTTAATTTTTTTTAAAAGACTCCGGATCTCCGATAATCTTTAATAATCTTAGAAAAAAAAACTCTCGTCGGACTCGTGATTTTTTCATGACATTTTTAAAAAACGACACCTGTGACCTCCGAGTTTGTGTCATAATCATTTAAAATAGACACCTGGAACCCCAAAGACTCCCTCATGATTTTTTTAAAACAGACACTACCTCCGAAATTGTGTCATCATCGTTTAAAATAGACACTTGTGGCACCCAAAACACATTTTTAATTTTTTTAAAAAGTCTCCGGATCTCCGAGATTCTTTAATAATCTTTAAAAAAAAAACACTCGTCTGACTCGTGATTTTTTCATGACATTTTTAAAAAAAGACACCTGTGACCTCCGAGTTCGTGTCATAATCATTTAAAATTGACACTTGGGGCCCCAAAGACTCTCTTATGATCTTCTTAATACAAACACTACCTCGGAAATTGTGGCATGATCGTTTAAAATAGACACTTGTGGCACCCAAGACACATTTTTAATTTTCTTAAAAAGACTCCGGATCTCTGAGATTCTTTAATAATCTTTTTAGAAAAACCACTCGTCGGACTCGCGATTTTTTCATGACATTTTTAAAAAACGACACCTGTGACCTCCGAGTTTGTGTCATAATCATTTAAAGTAGACACCTGGAGCCCCAAAGACTCTCATGATCTTTTTAAAACAGACACTACCTCCGAAATTGTGTCATGATCGTTTAAAATAGACATTTGTGGCACCCAAGACACATTTTTAATTTTTTTAAAAAGACTCCGGATCTCCGAGATTCTTTAATAATCTTTTTAAAAACCACTCGTCGGACTCGTGATTTTCTCATGACATTTTTAAAAAACGACACCTGTGACCTCCGAGTTTGTGTCATAATCATTTAAAATAGACACCTGTGGCCCCAAAGACTCTCTCATGATCTTTTTAAAACAGACACTACATCCGAAATTCAGTCATGATCGTTTAAAATAGACACTTGTGGCACCCAAGACACATTTTTAATTTTTTTAAAAAGACTCCGGATCTCCGAGATTCTTTAATAATCTTTTTAAAAAAACCACTCGTCGCACTGGTGATTTTTTCATGGCATTTTTAAAAAACGACACCTGTGATCTCCGAGTTTGTGTCATAATTATTTAAAATAGACACTTGGGGCCCCAAAGACTCTCATGATCTTTTTAAAACAGACACTACCTCCGAAATTGTGTCATGATCGTTTAAAATAGACACTTGTGGCACCTAAGACACATTTTTAATTTTTTTAGAAAGACTCCGGATCTCCGAGATTCTTTAATAATCTTTTTAAAACAAATCACTCGTCGGACTCGTGATTTTTTCATGACATTTAAAAAAAAAGACACTTGTGACCTAGGAGTTTGTGTCATAATCATTTAAAATAGACACCTGGGGCCCCAAAGACTCTCTCATAATATTTTTACAACAGACACTACCTCCGAAATTGTGTCATGATCGTTTAAAATCGACACTTGTGGCACTCAAGACACATTTTTAATTTTTTAAAAAAGACTCGGGATCTCCGAGATTCTTTAATAATCTTTTTAGAAAAACCACTCTTCGGACTCTTGATTTTTTCATGACATTTTTAAAAAACGTCACCTGTGACCTCCGAGTTTGTGTCATAATCATTTAAAATAGACACTTGGGGCCCCAAAGACTCTCATGATCTTTTTAAAACAGACACTACCTCCGATTTTGTGTCATGATCGTTTAAAATCGACACTTGTGGCACCCAAGAAATATTTTTTTTTAAAGGCTCCGGATCTCCGAGACTCTTTAATAATCTTTAAAAAAAAAAAAGAATAAAAGGTCAAGGTACCTTCCAGACCTCGGAGCTCAATCCCAGTCTCCAAATGTCAACATAACTTCAAGCCCAACTCCAAATCGTCAAAATTCCGACGCAAATCGCTTGTTTTTAAACACTCGACCACACAATCACTGTAAATCGCGTTATTTTAGTTTGTTTATTATACCTAAGACCGTCTGATAAGAGGACTTTGTTATAGGTCAAGTGTGATAGTGTTTTTATTTACACAGTGGTGTTTGCAGAGATACAGTGGAATTCTTTAACAACCGAAAGCGAAATTTGTGAAAGCCACCAGAATTACCAGTGTTAAGAGATCTATTTTTTATCGATTAGGTTGTAATAATAAGTGGGAATTATTGCCCCAACTTGTTTACTTTTGTTGTTATCAATCGCCAACCAACTGCTAAGTTAATAAAGCACACTTAAACAAATTGATTCATTATAATAATAAAAAGTTCTACAATGGAATAACCGTGTGACCTCATATTTAAATGTCATTAATTACCAGTGCGGCTGAGATTATCTACGATTATACGCGAAACAGTGTCACTGTTTTATAAGAATTTATATCTGTTGGAAATGAATATGTAACAATAACGTTTTTCTCCTCTATTTTGCTCCAAACGATAATTATCGCCAAGAAATTACCAACATACCAAGGGTGTGTTTCGCATACTTTCCACAAACATTTGCATACTTATCCAAAAGTTGATTCATAATTAGTATGCGATTTGGAACGTTGCCACTACTCCACCTGCATTCCGAAACAACTTACCTCGTAAATAAACAACCCCCCTTAAAAAATGTTCCAACTTTTATTGAATCCGGGGTTGCGTTTCACGCTTTCAGTAAAAGTATCACGTTGCCCGACTCCTCCACTAATCAGTCGTATTTTGTTTCAGAATAAATTTAGCTGCCAGGGTCCCACGATAAAGTTCCTAGGAAATGAAGGGGTAAGTCAAGTTTATAGATCAAGTTTTCGAGGGTTGTTCCGCCGCATATTAAGCAAACGGCCCCCGGATTTCCTCGGTTAATTCGGGTCGTAATCGCTGTGTGCTGAAATTCCGGGGACGGGCGTGGGCATGGGTGTCTGATGGGACTCCAATTACTATTAATAGGAATGGCTTCATTCCGGCTGCGGGGTAGAATTAATTCGGGCTTTGTGGGGTGTTGTTTTAAGCGGTTATGAAAGCGAGGCGTTCGTGTGGTTCCTTTGGAAATCCATTGACACCAAAAAGGTCAAGCAATTTTTTAAAATAGCGAATTCGTGCATTTAAAACGCATAATTTAGCTTCTCAGGCACACCAGTAAATTATTTTTTAATTACACCTGAACGTGCTCGCTGCGCTCGCATTCTAAACGTTCTTTTTTTGCATTTTAGTCTCATAGAAGTGATTAAAAAAGCAGTCTAGGTTTTGAAATCCGAATATCGAGAAATTGAGAAATGAAAACATTTTAAAAATCGAAAAGTTGGAAAATCAAAACATCAAAAAATTTAAAATTCGAAAAATTTAAATATTCCCAAAATTGAAAAATAGAAACCTCTAAGACATCAAAAAATCGTGAAGTCGAAAAATTGAAAAAAATCAAGAAACTGAAAAATCGAAATACTGAGACATAAAAAAATATATAAAATTTTAATAATCAAGAAATTGAAAACTTCCGAAACAGAAATGACGAAAATTTTGCAAATCTAAAAGCCTGGAAAGTCGAAAATTCGACAAAACCAACAAAAAATCGTAATAGCAATTTTTCAATTTTGAAAATTTTCGTTTTTTCGGTTTTTAAAATAGTCGATTTTTCAGTTTTTGATTTTTCAATTTTTCAAATCCTTGATTATCGAGATTTCGGTGTTTCGATGATTCCATTGTTCAATTTCTCGATTTTTCGATCTATCGATTTTTTTTATGTTTTAAAATTATTAGTTTTTTCAATTTGAGCTTGATTTTTGTGCTGTTTCGATTTCTCAATCTTTTGATGTTTCGATTTCTCGATGTTTCAGAAATATCAGAGAACCCAAAGATAAAAATGGAAAATATTAAAAATCCAAAAGTTGGAAAATCAAAACATCAAAAAATTTAAAAATTCGACGAAATATTTGAAAATCCAAAGCCCTGAAAATGAAAAAATCGACAAAACCAAAAAAGTCGCAATAGCGATTTTTCGATTTTGAAAATTGTTAATTTTTCGATTTACGATTTTTCCATTTATCAGTTCTTCGATATTTGTATTTGATTTTCGAATTTTTAAATTTTAGATTTTTCTTTTTTAATTTTTTGATTTTTTGAGTTACCAGTTTTTTGATTTTTGAATTTTACGAATTCTCGATGTATAAAGATTTCAGTGTTTCGATCTTTTGATTGTTCAATTTCTCGTTTTTTCGATTTATCAATTTTTTTTAATTTTAAATAATTGCCCAATTTTTCTTTTTTTTTAATTTTAAAATTTTTCAATTTTTCAATTTGAATCTTTGCGATTTTTCGACTTTACGAGATTTCAGTTTCTCACTCTCTTGATGTTTCAGCTTTTCAGTTGACGAATCCATAAATTTAAAAATTCGAAAAGTTGAAAAATAAAGAAATATCGAAGAACTGAAAAATGGAAGAATCTGAAAATTTTTCGAATTCTCGATTTTTCAATTTTTCAGTTCTTGGATAGTTCCTTTAGATACTCGAATTTTGAAATACTAAACATTCCAATTTTTCCACTTTTCAGTTTTTTGAATTTTCTATTTTTCAAATTCTCGGTTTATCGAAATTTCCGTCTTTCAATTGTTCAAGTGTTCATTTTCTCAATATTTCTGTTCCACTGATTTTCGAATTTTTAGATTTTTCCGTTTTGATGTTTTGATTTCTCGATCTTTAAATTTTTCGCCTTTTTTAATTTAAAATTTCTCAGTTCTCAGTTTTTTTATTTTCAAATTTCTCGATTTTTCAGTTTGAAATATTTTGATTTCTCGATTTAGTGTTGTTTCGATTTTTCGATTTCTCAATCTTTTGATATTTCGATTTCTTTATATTTCAGTTTTTTAATTGAAGAATCCATAAATTCAAAAATCCCAAAACTGAAATATCGAAAAATTAAAAAATAGAGAAATATCTATGAATTGAAAAATCGGAAGGTCGAGAAATCGAACAATTTTAAGAAAATTGAAACATTGAAATTTTGAAAAATTAAAGCATCAAAAATTGAACAATTGAGAAATCGAAAAACCCAAAGTCGAAAAATTGAAGAATGAAATAACTGAAAAATGAGGAAACTGAAAAATTCCAAAACAGAAATGACAAAAAATTGGAAAATCTAAAAACCCAAAAATGAAAAATTAACATATTGAAAAATTGAAGAATCGAAAAATTGAAAAATCGAGAAATGGAGAAGTCAAAAAATCTAAAATTTAAGAAACCGAAAAATTGAATTAATTTTGAAAATTTTAGGTCATTCGATTTTTCAGTTCTTCAATATTTCTATTGGATTGATTTTCGAATTTTTAGATTTTTCAGTTTTTTGATGTTTCGATTTCTGGATCTGTCGAATTTTCGACTTCTCGGTTTTAAATTTCTCGGTTTTTAATTTTTTTGATTTTTCAATTCTTCGAATTCTCGATTTATACAGAATTAGGTGTTCCGATCTTTGATTGCTCAATTTCTCGCTTTTTCGAAATATCGTTTTTTTTATTATTTTAAATTTTTCGACTTCTCGAATTTCCGATTTCTGAATCTTTTGATATTTCGATTTTCTCATGTTTCAGTTTTTCAGTTGACGAATCCCGAAAACTAAAATAGAGAAATCGAAAGATCAAAATTGATTAATTGAAAAATTAAAAACCTGCAAAATCGAAACAAATTTTTGATTTTTCATATTTTTGCTGTTTCGATTTCTCAATTTTTCGAGTTCTCGGTTTTAGATTTTTCTTTTTAAAATTTTTTATTTTTTGATTTACCAGTTTTTTGATTTTTGAATTTTCGAATTCTCGATTTTTCGATTTTTTTAATTTTAAATTTCCCAATTTTTCTTTTTAATTTTAAAATTTTAAAATTTTTCAATTTGAAACTTGCGATTTTTCGACTTTATGCGATTTCGGCTTCTCAATCTCTTGATGTTTCGCTTTCTCGATGTTTCAGTTTTTCAGCTGACGAATCGATAAATTTAAAAATTCTAAAAATGGAAAAATTAAGACATGGCGACGAACTGAAAAATTGAAGAATCTTAAAAAAAATCGAAAAATTGAAAATTTTTCGAATTCTCGATTTTTCGATTTTTCAGTTCTTTCATACTTCCTCTAGATTTTCGAATTTTTAAATATTAGACATTCCAATTTTACCATTTTTCGGTTTTTTGTATTTTCTTTTCTTTCAAATTCTCAGTTTATCGAAATTTCCGTCTTTCGATCTTTCGATTGTACAAGTGTTCATTTTCTCGATTTTTCGATTTTAAATTTCAGTTTTTAATTTTTTTTTTATTTTAAAATTTTTCGTTTTGAACTTCTCGATTTTTATATTTGTAAAACTTTTGATATTTCGATTTATAGCTGCTTCAGTTTTTCAATTGGAGAATCTAAAAAAACGAAAAATAAAAATTTTCGAATTCTCGATTTTTCGTTTTGTCAGTTCTTTGATACTTCCTTTAGATTTTCGATTTTTTAAATCTTAGACATTCCAATTTTTTGTTGTTTCGATTTGTGTTCATTTTCTCAATTTTTCGATTTTAAATTTCAGAATTTTTCATTTTTTTATTTTAAATTTTTTTTTTATAAATTCAAAAATTCCCAAGCTGAAATATGGAAAAATTTAAAATTTTGAAAAATTGAGAAATAGAGAACTATCAAACTGAAAAATCGAAAATTCTTTAAAAAAGTGAAAAATTAAAATATTGAAAATTTGCAGAATCGAAAAACTGAAAAATCTGAAAGCCCGAAAAGCTAGAAAATCGACAAAAGCTAGAAATCGACATTGCAATTTTTCAGTTTCTTGGTTCTTCAATTTCTATTTGATTTTCGAATTGTTAAAATTTAGTTTTTTCAATTTTTTGATGTATCGATTTATCGATTTTTTAATTTGAAATTTCATTTTAAAACTTTTCCGATTTCTTAATCTTTTGATGTTTCAGTTGTTCATTTGAATAATCCATAAATTCAAAAATCCGTAAAATGAAACATCGAGAAATTCAAAAATAGAGAAATATTGATAAATAAAAGTCCAAAACCGAAAAATCGAAAGAATTGGAAAATTTGAAAGCCCGAAAAGCTAAAAAATCGACAAAAGCTAGAAATCAATAAAATATATAAATATAAATTCGAAATAGCAATTTTTCAGTTTCTTGGTTCTTCAATTTTTGAATATTTTAATTTTTCAATTTTGATATGGTTAGATTTTTCTATTTTTTGATTTTTCAGTTCTCCGATATTTCTATTTGATTTTCGAATTTTTTAAATTTTAGATTTTTAAATTTTTTGAGGTATCGATTTCTCGATCTTTCGATTTTCGACTTTTCAGTTTTAGATTTTTCGATTTTTTGTTTTTCGATTTCTTAATCTTTTGTTCATTTGAATAATCCATAAATTCAAAAATCCCAAAAATGAAACATCGAGAAATTGAAAAATAGAGAAATATCGAAAAATCAAATTCAAAAAGACGGTAAACCGAAAAATCTTTAAAAAAGTGAAAAATTTAAATATTAAAAAATTGAAGAATCGAAAAATAAAAAATACAGAATTCAAAAAACCGAAAAGTCAAAAAATCTAGAATTTAAAGAAATCGAAGAGTTGAAGAATCGAAACACCCAAAAATCAAGAACTGAAAGCTTCCAAAACAGAATTAGCGAAAAATTGGAAAATCTGAAAGCCCGAGAAAACGATAAAACCGAAAAATCGAAATAGCGATTTTGAAAATTTTTGATTTTTCGATTTTTCAATTCTTTGATATTTCTACATATTTGATTTTCAAATTTTTATATT